TTCTTTTAGATTCCAGAGCTGTTCCTTTCCTCAATTTTGTGGCATCAGAGGAAAATCTTTTTCCTACTGTGAAAAAGGAAATGTTCTATGTGCCCTCATTAATGTGCTCATCTATGTTTATAGAGAAATAGTAATCCTAAATTTGGATTGATGACTCATCATGGCTTCACTGTATTTGGAAGAAGATTCAATGCTGTGTTGTGACTGATGCTTAAAAGAAGAAAATTGGTCTTATTTCAGATAATAAAATAATGCACGTAATGTTGCTAGTGTTGGTATGTAAGTGTAGTTCTTTCTTGAAAATGTAAGTGATTATGTGCATTATGTAATTACTAATCTAGGCTATGGAAGCAAACTTAGTGATTTCAGTGTTTCGAGAGGAAAAGTGGAGAATATATACAGAAGAAGAATGTGAGCAGTACAAGTGAAAAAAGAATTTGGGCAGCTTTAAGAAGGAAAGTGACAGTAAGTGTTAGGGGATGTGAAGCATACCAGAGATGTAGGAAGGAAAGAGGGAGACACGTTGATGCTGAAGTCAGTTGATAGTAGTGCTCTACTTGCCTTGTGCTATTGTTACAAGGCATAAAGTAATTATATAATTATATATAGGTTACTGGCTCTAAGGTAGAATGTGTATTATGCAGTTCATTAAAACTGTCTCACCCAAAGAATTTCTTTGCATTTTGTTGCTAAACACTATATGCTGATTTAAAATAAGAAATCTAAAGAAAAATTCCATCAAGAATTAGTTAAAGGTGATAGTCAGATTCACTACAATAGTAATCACATCTGTTCAGATACTTTGTATGAATGATGAAAACTGAAAAAAAAACCCAAAACATCCGTGAAGTTGAGTAATATTTCTGAGGCAAGGAGGAGGGGGGACCGCAGGGAATTAAAAATCACTTTGAATCTAGGGCTATAGATGTAAGTATGCTAATGCATGTAATTGTAATAGATTGCTATTGCTTAGCTTCACACTGGGATACAGATACAGTTATGTGCGTGTTCCCTAATTGCATTTCTGTGCTTTTTGTTTTAAAATGTAGTATTACCGAGCTTACTGGATCCATGGCTTATGTACTGTAAATTCAAACGTGTGGCCTCAAGCAGTTGATGATGAAAGTTTCAGGAGCATAGACGGAGCAAAGCAGGAAAAGAATTGAAAAGGATAAATGATGATTTAAAAAGACTATGAATTGGGTAATTTGTAGTTAGGTAATTGTGATCCATGATTGATCAACTATATAATCAAAATTATATTATTAATTTTATTTTTTACTTATTTTCTGCTACCTCTAGTTTCTAATATTCAGCTGGAGAATTTAGTAGCTAGTTTTATGGAGAGTTTATATTTTGGGAAATTGTATCTTATTTCAAGTTGTTAGCTCTTTAAAGTCACAAGGTAATCAAGATGATAGAAGAAGAAAGATGCATCTCTCATTGACTGTTCTTGGGGTTTTTTTTTTCCTGTATTTTTGAGAGGGCCAAGAGGTTCATTTGTCCTACCTTGTTCTTTCCCATCAAGGCATTTCCATTGGCATAAAAAGTAGTGATACAATTGATATGTTTGTGTTTAAATTCCTATTAAAATTAAATGTAAAATTTGCAGGCACACAAAATTTGAATATTCAGGGAATTTCATGCAGCTTTAAAAGACATATCAGACTGAATCAAAATATGTATATAAAATTTTGAAAGATTTCTCAAGATGAAATGACTTACTATAAGACACCTCTCGAAGGTATACTTGTTTGGAACTGTTAGGACCTGGAGCCTTGAAGGGACAGGCAAAATCTGAGAAACTCTCAACAGCAAAACAAGTATTTCAGTCTATAAGGGACTCTTTCAAGATGAGCTATAATTCTTAGAATATCTATGGTCTCTGAAGAAAGTAAGCATTATCGAAATGCTGTACATAGATACTAAGATTATATTTTAAAATTACTTTTTCTCCCTAAAAAAATGTGTTCTGTCTCTTTTAAAATATGTTTAACAAGACAGTGCTTGTCAAATAATATTAGTTGGTTGCTGAAGAAAGGTATCTAAATTTAGCTGGATCTGTGTGTTAAAGATAGTGGATGATGAAGGAACTCTAATCCAGGATTTTACCTAAAAATAGTACAGTTTGTGGAACTGGAGGTAGGTGGGAAGGGCTGTCTGCATTTACCTACAGAAGGTGCATTCTGAGATCAGATTGGGGACAGATGCAGAGGGAACTAGGGTTGATAATGACTAAAACGCTTAAGTGAGTACTAAGGGCTAACATTTTCTAATCTCTCAGGGGATTTAGAAAAAGTTATGTTCTGCAATACATTTATCACTCTTCTGAAAGTTTTGATCCATCTTTATAGATGAGTATTCGGGGTCCTACGTGCCTTGGCTGTGAGCTGTTATTTTTACGTTGTTTTATTTTGTGGGGTAAAGTGAATGAATATTTTTTGCTTTTTGTGTGCTCCTTGCTCTGAGAGACCTCTGTGTTTTTATGCTAGAAGTCTTGTGAATGTTTGGTACATAGAGTTAAAACTAACAAACAGTAATATAACTTGATAATCATAAAAAATAAAACAAACCCCACCATATGTTCCATGCAGCAATTTCATTTGAATATCTATGTGGTAGATTTATTGCCTTGCTTTAAAACATGTTTCAAGGCTGGTACTGCAAGGAAGAAGTGGACTAACTGCTTCTCTTAGTGTAGTTGGGAATAAGATCTAGGTGTTCCTGCTCCGGCAGGGGGATTGGACTAGATGATCTTTCAAGGTCCCTTCTAATCTCTAACATTCTGTGATTCTGTGAAACAGTGGAAAGAAGTTACTGGGTCCAGTGTCTTTTCTTAGTATTCTTAGTGTATTGTATCTCTTGTGTTAAACATTCCTATAATATGTATCAAGCTTTCCCTTGAGCATATTGATATTTTTTGTTAGCTTTTATTTTACTAGCTAAACCTAGCAAATTGCTATAGTCATCTTAAATAATCTTTATTATTAGTTTGTTTCATCTTTCTGGAACACAGTTGTTCAAAATTCTATACCATATGTCAGATGCATAATCATTAGTGGAGAAAATTTACTGGTATTCTTCCTTAGGTCAGCAACAGATGACTGTTTAAGAAAATGAAACAACGCAGGGATGAGAAGAATAAATTTTAAATTAAATTCAGTCTAGACAGGAGTCAGGCTGTTGTGGTTTTGAATCCCTGGCTAGCAGCCAAACACCACAAATCGCCCTCCCTGCTCCAGGGGATGGAGGAGAGAATTAAAGGGGTAAAGGGAAATGAGCCTCATGGGTTGAGATAAGAACAATTTAATAACTAAACTACAATAATATTGAATATAATGATGATGGTGATATTAATAATAATAGTAATGTACACAAGTGAGTGATACACAGTGATACTGCTCACCACCTGATGACCAAGGCTCAGCCTATTCCCAGCTAATGATCCCAAAGCACGTGGAGTCCTGAAACTGCAAATCCAAATGGTGACAAGAGCCAGAGTGTCTTGAGAGACCAAGATGACCCTGAGAGAGGGGCGACCCAGAGGGAGACAACCTGGAGCAAGAGAATACTTATGGACAGAGTCTCATCTGGCATGATATGGATACTGGGCATGATATGGAATAGACTATTGGCTAATTTGGGTCTCAATCCTAAATTTAATATTGAATCCTAGGCTAGTAATTGAGGCTGTGTTCCCTCCCAGCTTCTCCTGCACCTGTGGACACTGGCACAGCAGAGAAGCTGAAAAGTCCTTGCCTGTCCTGGCAGCAACTGTAAACATCAGTATGTTATCAGCCTTCTTCTCAGCACAAATCCAAAAAGCAGCCTCTCACTAACTACTGTGAAGAAAGTTATCTCCGTCCCAGCTGAAACCAGGACACAGGCTTATTAAAGAAAATGCTCTGGAGTATCTGTACAAATAAAGATAATCAACAAAATCAAGACTTTTTTTTCTAAGAAAAGGAAATATATTTTATGTAAAGTAATTATTATTTGGTATTCTGAATGTCTATAATCAGAGTTTTAAAATGTAAGTTTATTCTCCTCCATTTTCATTGAGTGGACCCTGTCTGCCTCTTGCTTGTCTCAGAAGATACTCTTGCAAAGTGTACTGAGGAGTGGGATAAGAAGAAGTAGTTGGGTGGCTTTTGGGAGCTAATATGCTGGTGAAACTCAAAGGCTCAGAATGCTTGTCCAGTTCTAGTCGGCATAAAGGCAAGAGGTTTCCTTCTGCTACTTGATTCTTTGGCAGCTGTTAAAGAGAAGTTCTTCTTCCCTGGATACTGTCTATATTTTAGTAGTATTAGTACAGAAAAGAGGTACCATGAAATGAGCTTGAGTGTGACATTAAGAGTATCATAGAATGGTTACGGTTGGAAAGGAACTTGAAGATCATCATCGAGTTCCAACCCCCCCTGCTATGGGCGAGGACACCTTCCATTTATCCACCAGGTAGTCCTTCTGTCAAATCCATGTCCCTGCAACTTAGAGACAAGGATGTCATGTGGAATGGTGTCAAAGGCTTTGCACAAGTCCAGGTAGATGGTGTCAGTTGTCCTTCCTTTATCTACTGGTGCTGTGGCCCTGTCGTAGAAGGCCACCAAATTCGTCAGGCACAATTTTCCCTTGGTAAAGCCGTAGTATGCATCAAATACTTGGAAGTAGTGAACTTCTAATATCTATGCTCTTATCCATTGGTAGGTGTGAAGTATCTTTCCTTTAGTCAGTTTAGAGGAACAGAATTAAACTTTCTTGAATGCATACAATTGTGTAAACAGCTTGTGACAGACTAAATTAATTCATTTTCAGGTGGGACTAATAATAATATATCTTAAAGAATAATCCAAAGATATTTTGGAGGAACAGCTCAATGTTAGTGGTGTTTCAAAACTGTAGATTCTTTCTTCAGCAAAAAGAATGGAACAAGTCCCATTAACTTAATAACTGAGTTGTTTTTTTTGACTTAATATGTTGTTGTTGTTGGTTTTGTTTTGCAGGATACAAAATTATGGATAATAATGGAATACCTGGGTGGAGGCTCTGCCCTTGATTTAGTAAGTAAATTATGTATGATTTTTGACCTCACATAATTATTTTCTTATCTTATAATTCTGGAAACTATAAAATGTCATTTGGCTATGACTATGTTTGCTTCCAGTAAAGGAGAAATAGTATTTGTCAATGCCAGGAAAATGTTATTTTCCATGAGGCAAGACTGATTATTTGTATAGATGGAAGGGAACTAAGCAACATAATGTTGGAAGCAGGATATAAACATCTTAGAATGCTGAACTTCAGTCAGCCAGAGAGCACTAGTAGCTGAAAATAGTTTCTTCTGTCTCTTAATTCTGCCAGCATAACTCCTCCTAGTGCATACATTTTAATGTATCTTCCCTCCCACCGCCACCCCCAAACAAACAAATATTTCCCTGTTTAAAGTCTCAACAAAGTCTAAACAGAGACAGAAACACAATTTAGGCTGGTATTAAAAAGTACATTTCCAAGAAATATGAGGAGCAGTGGACTCTCTCACGGGTAGAGAGGCCTTATAGAGAGTAGGTAGGCCAGAGAGCTGGGCAATCGCCGGCCATATGAAATTTAACAAGAGCAAGTGCCAGATTCTCAGATGTGGTAATCCTGGTTATATGTACAAACTGGAGGATGAGAGGCCCTGCAGAAAGAGATCTGAGGGTTTGGGTTGAAGGCAAGTTGAGTATGAGTCATCACTGTGCACTGGCAGCCAGAAAGGCCAGCTGTGTCCTGGGGTGCATTAAGCACAGCACAGCTGGCCAGTCCAGGGAGGTGATTGTCCCACTCCACACTGCACCCGTGAGGCCCTGCCTTGAGTTCTGTGTGCAGTTTTGGGTGCCTCAGTACAAGAAGGACATTGAACTATTAGAGTGCGACCAGAGGAGGGTGACCAAGATGGTGAAAGTCCTTGAGGGCAAGGTTTATGAGGAGCAGCTGAGGTCACTTGGCTTGTTCAGTTTGGAGAAGAGAAGGCTGAGGGGTGACCTCATCACAGTATACAGCTTCCTTAAGGCAAGCAGCAGAGGGGAGGTGCTGATCTCTTCTCTCTGGTGACCAGAGACAGGACATGAGGAAACTGAATGAATCTGAGTCAAGGGAAGTTCAGATTGGATTATTAGGAAAAGGTTCTTCACTGAGAAGAACCTGAGAGGTGGTCGGTCACTGGACCAGGCTCCCCAGGGTCATGGTCATGGCACCAAGCCTGTCAGAGTTCAAGGAGCATCTGGATGATGCTCTTAGGCATGTGGTTTAGTTTTAAGTAGTCCTGTGAGGAGCAGGGGGTTGGACTCGATGATCCTTATGTGTCCCTTCCAATCTGAGGTATTCTATATTTTCTGTGTTTGCATGCCATGCATAAATATACAGTAGAACCTTGTAAATTGTAAATTTAGTGAACTGTATCTGTTCCATTTCTCTTCTGGCAAAGATTTTTTGTATCTAATTCTGCAAGGAGATCTGCTTAATGAGGTGTGATTTTTAGGGATGTATGTCAGGATATTTGAAAGACTAGATTAACTACGCTAGATATATATTTATAGAAATTAAAATGGATGTTTTGAATATGTGAAAATTGTCATAGCAGTTGAGACTGAATGTCTCTGTAGCATAGTTCACTCTTCTCAACTGGGGCAACTAATAAATGCTTGAGGAAAGTGAAAAAGGAAAAAGGCCTGTGTAGGGCGATTCTGCTGGTGACATCCAGAAGACAGGAGGCTTCCTGTAGTTGGGCTAACATGTTTTTAATTGTAATTACCTTTTGGAACCCATTTATACCTTTAGTTTCCATGTGCTGTTAGAAGCAGTTCTATGATTGTGTAGAACTTGGTAATGTTCCCCATAAAGATAATCTAAAAAAAGTTTGTTTATTGTTGTGATGGTTTTTTCCTGACAGAAGAGCAATTAGAAACTGGGTTTGCTTTTGTAAATTAATTATTACTTTCTTCATGCTTCAAACAGATAGAGTAGAAATAAAACAGATGTTATCATATTTTCTTGTCTTTTTTTTTTTTTAATCACACACATTTCACTTGTGTGATGACAACAAGTTTATTCCCTAAGTTTGTTGCTTAGAAGTAGTACAAAGTCTTTGGTCACATCCTGAAATGTTATTGAAAAAAATGTGCCACAGAACTGAAATTATCATGTTAATGTATATTAATGTATATTAACCATCTTGTGTGTGCTTCATTCATTTTGAATTTATGTTCTGCTGCATGTTTTCTTAGTTCTAACATGCACATTAGAGTTCTCAACTGGAATCTGATAGGACAGCTGGCACACTGTCACATTTCTGTACTCAAGGCAAGACTGTATGGGAATCTTGACTTTCATGTTCAAAGCTTATACATCATGCTAGCCTGGTGTTTTGTGTACTTGAATATGCACTGGCTGTTTTGAAAAATCACTCCTCACAAGATAAAGTACATTTAATGCAATTACACGTGCGTTGTTCAACTTTGCGTATAATTTAGGTTTGTGGCTGAGGTACAAGAGCTAATATTATCAGCCTTGGTCTGTTTTCACTGGCTTCCTCCTTGCTAAGGTGAGCTAACATCTGACAAAAGAGGTCTTCCCCTATTAGATGTGCTGTATAATGTTGCCAAGTCTTGAACTGGTGCTCACAGCCTAGCTGGAGCAAAGCCTTGAGAATGTCTTGATGGGTTTCAAGGAGTGGCAATATCATGTATATTATCAAAGTTAAAGAAAAGCAAAAAAGATTGTAAGTAAAGCTACAAAGGTAAAACAAATATGTTGTCTGCATTGCCTGAAATCTTACCTCTGTTCCTACCTGTTAGCTGAGGATTTCTGAGGGATGTAACATTTTATTTTTTGTCTGAAAGTTTTTATTTGAAATGCTTTCTTTCTCACAGAGTGAAGCTTCGGAGATATTCAGTGACTGTTGTGGAGTAAACTAGAATACTGGAATATTTCCAATATTAATTGTTGTCCACAAAGTTTCAGTGTCTCTCTTGAGGTGCCCTTACTGGTTAAGAAGCTTCCCTGGGTAGTGACCTTTCCTCTGTCTAACTATATATATAAAAATGTATAGCCACACACACATATATATATATAAAAATATTTCTTGTATCTCCTAGTTAGAACCTGGCTCACTCGATGAAACCCAGATAGCTACAATATTGCGGGAGATACTCAAAGGACTAGATTACTTGCATTCTGAAAAGAAAATCCACAGAGATATTAAAGGTAAATTGTTTTTTATTTGTATTATAAGAATACTGGAACAGCTCATGCAACATAAATGAACACTCTTACAGTGTCAAATGTCTTAATTTCCACTATTTCCTCTTCTTTATTGCAGCTGCTAATGTATTGCTATCTGAACAAGGAGAAGTAAAACTAGCAGATTTTGGAGTAGCAGGACAACTAACAGATACACAGATAAAGAGGAATACCTTTGTGGGAACACCATTTTGGATGGCACCTGAAGTAATAAAGCAATCAGCATATGATTCAAAGGTAAGGTAATTCAAAGCATTAGTCAAAGTCCCTTCCTTTTATAACTTGAATTACACAGGTTGGTCTTCAGAATGTAGCTAATAACTTTGGCTGTGTCTAGACAGATGTATGTTTAGATGATACCTAGCAACTAAAAGCTGTTTGCAAGGAAAGAAGCTTTCCTAATCGGTACCCAAACCTTAAGTTTAATAGTATATTAAGTCCATCCAGATGGCAAGAAATATTACAGTATTGACATGTTCATCCTGTCACTTTTTATCCTACTCTATTAATGAGTATTTTTGATAGCTATTTAAAAATAGAAGAGAACAAATATATGCAAATATTAATATGCTTCCACTTGTTTTTAGAAAAAAATTGTCAGCTTCACTGTTGAAGTATATGGGTTAGGTGGATGTGAAAGTGTTGTTTGAAAGTGCTATTATTCTTCTGTGGCAGAACATGCTGCCTAGTTCTGTGCTACTCTCTGACCATACTCTTTTAGGTATGCTGTACAGACATCATAATAGAAATGTGATTCCCATTATTGGTCTCCATATGCTTACCAGCACGACCCTGGGTATCTCCGGTTGCTGGGAAGGGAACACATGCACTGAAGCCAGCTCAAGCCCAGTGCTCTTTTCGTCTTGTTGGTTACTAGCTTTTTTACTTCTATTAGGCTGAACCACATATACACCTCCTTGCTGTCCATGCCTTCCTTCTCCGCCATGCTGGTCTGGCTAGCTCAGGAAGACTTTGCTCTACGGGGAAGGCGATTTGCATAACCCAGTGATCCACTGGTGCAGCTGTATATCTGACCCTCAAGTCCCACTTGTGTTGAGATAAGATCAACTTTCTTTATGATAATTAGCAGTCATTCCTTATGTTCTTCCCTGAGCTCATTTTTTCTTGCCCTTCTCCTCTGATCCCCTTGTAGGGATTTGTTGATTGGTGACATTTCCACGCAATGAGACAGGTTGGTGTGTTTCTTTCCACCCTTGTCCACATAAGGCACTTGCCAATACTGACTGTGGCCTAGATTGTTTGTAGTATTGCTTCCTCCCTATTTCATGTCTTTCTGTAGAGAGGCTATTTAAAAATAACTAGCAGAACTCTGTAGAGCCTCTAGAAGCTTAAATGAACCCAAATTCCCAATTTGAGGGTTGAGTCAGCTATTTTTTTTGTGGAAACTGGTTTTTGTTTTGTTTGGTTGGTGGTTGGGTATTTTTTGGGTTTTTTTAGATGTTTGGCTTCTGGAAATGATTTTCACTTGGACAAAGCATGACTCAGGTTTTCAATTTTTGGATGTTTAAGTCTACAATGTCTTGTGGACATAAAAAGATCTTGGATACTTGATTCATTCCCTGGAAGGCCAGAGCTCAAGTTTTCAATGAACTAGAGATACTTACTGGTTTCTGTGAGCCTTTTGGCATTTAGAGACTAGACTAAATTGTACAGACAATAGTTTTGCTGCTGCAGAATAACCACTTGAGAAGGCCTGTTTATTTTAAGATAGTCTTAAGCATGTGTGAGAACACAGACATGTAAATCTAATGTAATTTTCCTTCCATAAGCTGGCCATGCTTGAGATGTGTTAGGCAGGACTATGGTCTTCATAGTGTAGTCCTGGCAAGGTGCAAACAATTTCCATCACGTAGTTGCCGTTTTACTCAGTTGTGTTCTTTGCTGTCACAAGTCCTCTTACTTCCCACATGCTGATGGGTTCCCAATAAGAGCTTGAAAGTGCTCTGTAACACTACCTTGGGCACAGTTCACCTGCACCTTTCACGCGATTCATCTCTGCATTTCCTCATTTACTGTATGCCTCATACCAACTGTTAAATTGTTGCTCCTTTTTTGATTGGATTGATATCTTTGCTCAGGCTGACTGCTGAAATAGCACAATTGTGCAAGGCAAAGCAAAACCTAGGTTATGCCATCAAACTATTAACCAGGCTAAAGGAAGGCAGATACATCCTGAGGTCTAATATTGCTAGTTATAGCTATAAAGCTTAAGGTCTCCTGTAGTTTCAGTCTTAGCATTATGGGCAGTTGGTGGATTTCCTTCCTGACCATGGCTTACGCTATATTATCAACATAACTCATGCAAGAACTATTATTCCAATATATTGATTTCCACTTTAAGCAGCTTTGGATATTAAGATATGGAATCATAGAATGGTTTGGGTTGGAAGGATCATTGAGTTCCACCCCCCCTGCCATGGGCAGGGACACCTTCCACTAGACCAGGTTGCTCAAAACCTCATCCAACCTGGCCTTGAACACTTCCAGGGATGGGGCATCCGCAGCTTCTCTGGGAAACCTGTTCCAGTGTTTCACCACCCTCATGGTAAAAAAATTCTGCCTAATGTCTTATCTAAATCTATCCTCTTTCAGCTTGAAGCCCCTACTTCTCATCCCATC